CACCAAGTTTATTTTCGAAAACTGCCCTACAGCCTCAGGACCAACTATATACAGCCGATGAGCGGCAGTAATCAACTATTTTTTGAGAAGAAAGTGAATGTAGTGTCTCGAGACCTCCTGACCGATAATAAGAAGTCACCAAGTGCAGCTGAATACGTGTATTCCGAAGACGACAGGACAAATGGGCCTGGGCATGGCCCGAAGACCAGCCCACGTGTACAAGGACCAGACAAATCCTAAAGTGACCGCCAAAGTTCAGGTAGTCACATAAACAAAGGATTACAGTGAAATCAACAGGTACTGCAACATTCTATTTATCTGTGGAAATCCTTTGTTTGTGTGACTATCTGACATTTGGCAATCACTTTGGGATTTGTCTGATTCTTGTACACGTAGGCTGGCCTTCGAGCCATGCTCAGGCCCATTTGCTCTGTCGTCTTCGGAACACATGTACCCAGCTGCACTTGCTGACTTCTTTTAGCGGCTAGGAAGTTTCGTTACGCTACATTCCGACCATCGACCTTAGTACAGAGGCAGTTTGTCTCTGACACCATACCTTTGCAAAGCGGACTCCTCTCTAAACAATTTACATAGCCTCGAGACCAGTTGCATCTCAAATATGTATATGCTAAGTGCCATTACAGTAATACTATCCTTCGCCTTCCCCCTCTGTAAGTACTTCTGACACAAAAAATACTGATTGCTTTGTAACATCACTATTGTAATTGCTCAAGAAAATGAATCAATGGTGCATTTAATGTACAGTTTGGTAGTGGGTCAGTTGGCTTGCTTTATTTTTGACACTGTTAGTTATTATTGCTTCTTTCATGCGAGCTAGCACTTGGGTCTCTTCGGCTGCTGTCACAGCTCGGTATAACTGGGCCTACCCTATACATATGAGTGTAATTATATTTAAGATCGAGCTAAATTACAGCATTCTAGATTCAGTTGTAAATTATGGGTCATTTTGACGTGTCTAAGACTTACCTTAAATTTGTGACACTATAATACTGAATATCGGAATTTACTCAGGTCAGAAAGAAGTGGTCTTAATGGTGATGATGTCACCTGCAATGAAGTACGTGTTGTGTCTGTCGTAGTTCGTTGGATATGGCTACCCTATTTCCGAAAAAGGTTCCTGCCTTCACTAGAGCCTTGGGTGGGAATGATGACATTTTCGATTCTGAGACTGATCTTCCGGTTGAGGCTGAAGTTGCGGTTACGTTCTCTGTGAACTTCAATCAAAGAATTAGTGTCTTAGTGTTTGGAATCGGTGCTGCTCAGTGCGAAGTCCTGAGTGCCAACATTGATTTTTCTAAAGCTGTGAAAATGAGGGTTGTTGATTTAACCGTGTCCAACCAAATCGTTATGTCCTGTTCGGCGTTTATGTTCGACCAAAAAATCGTTATTTGGTTGTGTGACACCCAAGAGCGCGACTCCTGCTACGGTTTCAGAAAATGGGTGGACACCTTACTGTCGTCTTTTTTACTCGACCAGAACTCATGCATATATATCCTGACCGACTCACCAGCCTCCGAATTTCAGAGTGATTTCAAACCGTCCACCCCCTTTATCCGCACACTTAGAACTCCACGAGCTTCCGGTTTGTGCTTCCCCGATGTCAAGCCACTTGAACCCCCAAACATCATTGCCGGATTCGCATCTCCCATCATGGCGCATTGCATATACCATTCGCTTCCGGCATGTGTTCTCATCGTCTATTACGAAAATCTGCGTACTTCCCTTGCCAAGACCGATATCTTCCCCGTGCTAATTCCCATCCTTGCAGCAATTGGAGAGTTGCGACCTTTCATTCTTTCTGATGGTATATCTGGCAGGCCAACAGCGCACAACTTCGATCAAATGTACATATGATCACTCGCTTCCAGTAAATCGTCGGATCTTTTATTGTTTGTTGCCTCAGCTTGACCAAGTTTACTCGCCATGACTCAGTCTGACTTTGGGTACCATAGGTAACCAGTAATCCACTCCCTTATTGATAGATTTCGTGGAATTAGGAGCCTAAGTACACTGGATTTTTGAACAAGGACAAGGCCGGCAAATTATTTATGGCACGAAATTAGTTGGGATCGCTGGGGTAGGGGCTTGAAATGAAGAAGCACACCATTACCAAGCCATTCAAATCGAATTAGCCTCGTTGGGAGTGCCAATTACACGTGGGATGAGAGAGGTGGGGTAAAAAGAAAATGCTGAGTGATGATCTTAAGCTTGGGAAGCGCAGTTTTCAAGCACGCCAGGCAGTGTCTTATTTACATGAGTTCTATACAGGATGCGGTAAATTCGTCAAGCGGTAATACGGGATCCGGGATCTATTCTGTCTCATAGTATTGTGCTTTGAATCCGCTCCACCCACGCACTTGCAGATTTTGCATCATCAGCCGCAAATCTGAACTGCCGTGCTGGTGTGTCGATCTAGAGGGAAAGCAATTTGTGTGAGCATTGGTGGATTGCCGCGCTCAAAGCATCATGCGATCACTCCACTTGCCTCGAAGGCGCAGCTATCTTGGAAGCGTCTCGGCACTGAGGTGGTGTTGCGCAGCAGTGTTACAGCACGCACGTCCTGTAGGTCAATAAAGCCCCGGGGCACTTCGTCCTGTGCCGTGTCATAGTAACGCATCTGGTGATGTTCCGTATCGAGTACGAAGAAACGCGACTTCCAGCTGGCTAATACCTTTCGACTACTAAGCTTGTAGAGCTCTCCGCAAAACGCCACAGAACCGAGGTCCGGTTGTCCAGGGACGCAACTCCGAACTCCCCAGGATGAGTCGCCGCCCAAAACTGGAACAGTTCTTGGTGGGTAGTCTCCTTTCTTGCCATTTGTATCGTACAGCGAGGATGCTCCTGAGGAACCCGTGGCATTTGCCTTATATCGATTTCTGCAGTTACAAAGTGGGAAAGAGTAAAAGGGTCAGTGTGTTTTACTCGTGAAAATAAATGGCATTTCATCGGCTGAGCCACAGTGACTCTAGGCAATTTGTTATTTGCACTTCAGCAGATTTTCGAAGCACAGGTGCTTGAATCAAGTCAACTGAACACCGAGGCGTTGGTGAGATGACTTCAATCGTGCTAAAAGCGAATTTGAAGCTCAAATTCTTAAGACATTGCACAAAACGTTCAGGTACTTTTCATTTACTATGACAGTCCAGATCCCCTCTAGCATTTTTTTTTTGGATGAAATTTGAAGGATTAACAAACTTTAAGGCATAACCTGGAGGTAGTGTCAAAATCACCTAAGGATTTGGACACAATCATACCAAACCCTTGTTCTTGAGGCGCAACACCAAAAATTACACTATCACTAGCACAGCGCCCTAATGCAGTTGTACAAAACGAAAAACGATAAAATATGAATAACCCTTGCATCGAACCATTCAAATTGCCTACTATTTCATTTTTAAGAAGACATAAGTTTCTTGGGTCCCTGAAGTAAATAGTATGCAAACTAAATACGATCGAAACTGGCATAAAGATTACTAGTGTAGTCACACAGAAATCCAGAGATCTCGTTAATTTCAGAGGACCTAGCCCTTATGTCAAGCTGAAACTACGTTTTCTTTGACAATGACAGTACGTTAGTTAACCATGCCTATAAAAATTCTTAAGTAATCCTAGAACTTTACGCCGCAAGAATAGTGCACGTGGTGCACCTGAATCGTAGGTTGCTGTGAGTGATTGATTCGGGTTCAGTAGGAACCTCGTGGAGGTTGCGGTCCTCAGTTTTGGCACGCTGCCTATTCCAGGGCCGTACAACACCGGTCCCGGGCAAGCCACTAGTCGTTATGGTCGATCCAACGGGGTGGTGGTGGGTTGTGGTCTGGGGCCGCCCCGGACAGTCACGCGGCACCCCAGGAGCGCATTTCTCGTGACAACAGAAGTTGCAGTCAACGCAGCGCACCAGGCCTCGTGTGATGCCCGAGGCCAAAATCAGTGCTTGACAGGCGTCGCAACGCGATACGGATAAGGTTGTCTTTACGCGCCGAAAACTGTGTGGCTGCATAAAGGAGGTCTAATTTAATCAATCCTGCGAAATAGATCTGACTTAAACCAGTAAATACAAATACGAAATAAGCATTCATCAGAATTTCTGGTAACGAGCTTACTTGTTCGAACAACGCTGTTGTCATGATATTACCTAGGCCACCTTCGACAACTGGAAGATCGTTCAGTGATCCACTGTGTTGAAGAGAGTGGGAAAGGAAAACCATATCATCAGCTGTGGGAGCAGGAACTGCTAGAGTTGATGCCTGGTTGTGATAGAGTTGTGAATTGTTCAGTGGTCGTCCAGATGTACGGTTTAAACGTTTCATAGTAATGGCACGATGCTGTGCAAACACAGCCCTCTGCGCCTCACCACACTCGTCCGAGGGTGGGGAATAGCCCTCGCAACCGTCATTGATTTCACTCTCCAGGGGCATCTCAGCATCCGACTCTGAGGGAAGGGAGGCGACACCATCACTGTTGCAGTTACGTCCTTCTCCTGAAACTGCAAAACCGACGGCGGTGGTGGAAACGGCGTGTTTCGGAAGAGAGTTGAATGGACATTCCAGCAACGGAGGTGGTGGTTTGAGAGTGGTGTTGAGCACAATCGGTCCATCATCAGTAGTGGTGGTGGATAGTTTGGCACGAATAATACGATCAAAGTCTGCACCTGCCTCCTCAGAGAGAGGAAGTTCGGGAAAAACGGAGAGCCGACCGTCAATTACATTCACTGTATCTGCTGAGAGTCGCACCGCCTTTGACCATGCTTCCTGCCATCCCACTGCCTCATCGCCCTCCCGTAGACCCAACAGGGCATATGTCTGTTCCTATTCGTTAACACAAACTTGCATTTAAAGGCTTATTTCCAACAACATAGAGGAAAAGACCATTTAATGAGTGGAAGTTACCATGATAGTTGGCTATTCTTCAATGATTTGTGTAGTATTAGTGTGGGGAGCCAACCTACCACATGGCTATTGTTGTAGCCTTGACGAAGAACCGGTTCATAGGGTCTGTTGATCTGTTTACGATAACTAGGGCAGAAGAGATCAAGATCGAACACAGGTCCAGAGGCCAAGTCCTCTGAGAGATAGTACTTCCACAAATTCAACGCGGCCTGATGCGTCGCTGGTATCAAAGTCTGGAGAATTAAAAAAAACGACCAGATCATCTTTTGTGATAGTGATAACTACGCGTAGTCATAGACACATCACCCAACGCATCGCCTAAACATTAATGGCTCACTGCTGTAATTAGAGTATTTTTTGCTTCAAGGTCGATATAATCAAAAGCTGGCACAAATAATGAATTAAGAGAAGTCATATGAATGAAACAAACAAAACTCAGCTAATGGATTCAGCAAACGTAGGTCTATCTACTATGCTTTAGGTATGGAAAACGAATCTTAAACGTGACAACACTGTCCTTTTATGGGATAATTAATTTGTCTGGACTTTTCGATAGTTGACCCGAAAAAGCCACAACTTAATAAAAAGCGTTTTGTGTGAAACTTCGCGCAGAAATTAGGGAATAACTACTCTCAATGTACGATTGTGAGCCACCATTGAGTTAATTAATGCATATTTGGAACGGTATATGAAACTATTGTATTGGTAAGCTATATCGTACTTTTTGAGCGCACTCGGGAGAGTAATAGAAATTAAAGAAGATGGGCCACTCCTCATGCTGATCCTGAACGAAGCGCCAAATAGAGTGAGTCTGGTAGATACCCGACGTAAGCAAGGAATGATCGGAGGTGAGATTCAGCCAATGAGACATGCGCTGGAGCTCGGAGTCGTGTTTGAAGTCGTGAAAGCGATTCGAGACATGGTGGTAAGCAAGGAATTGAAGAAAGAAATCATTAAACTCGAAGGAGAGAGGAAACTGTCGTACCAATTGGTGAACCGCATCAAGGAATTGCAGAAAGACAGGTGAGACATGTGAAGCCTTGCCATTATTGCCTTCAGCTTTTTGGCCCACACGTTGGTTGAAAGGATGACCAAAAAGGAGCCATTCCTTCTCCACTAGAGCCCAGAAACCGGAAATAGTCCGATACGTCGGATCCATCATTACTTGAGCCAACGAAATCATCTATAGAGATAAAGTAAAGAACGACTTAATCTCCTCTAAAGAACCAAGGAGTCTGACTATCGTGAAAATAATTTATAAGGAAGCCACGTATGAATAATGGATACCTAGTTTTACCCATACACATGACCACAAGTATTCGAGTTTAGTTCTGTAAATGCAGCAATATTGTTGTTTCAGCGATATGTGCAGACTATAAATAGTTACAGTTTAGTTCTTTATTGAAAGTGCAAAGTTCAACACAAAAGATATTTCCCATAAACATTTATATATCCACACCTCCTCCTTGGATATAATTTAGCACGACTACAGTTTGTCCCCACAACTAGAAGAGCAACCAGTTGATCAAGAATATGTAAGTAGCTTAGGACTTCATTTATGTTTACGAATGTGGGAGCATCATTGACCCAATGGGGCTACTAAACATGGAAGGCTACACGCGGTTCAATGCAATAGCATAAGGTAGTGCAAAGAGAAGTGAAGGTGAATCGTAAATCTAGTTAATGCAAACGTTTACAATTCGTTGATGCTACACTGTTAAATATTAATAATAATAACGCAGATGACAGGGTCGTTACCCTATTCCTTCCGACAGAAGAGAAAGGGAATACTCTCAGCTTCCGCAGCTTCCATCGACATTTGGCAAAGAAAATAGCCTCCTGGAATATACTTTACAAACGAACAGCCGCACGGATGGATCTACAAACTTGGCATAAGGACACGATGCGGAAATGCTAAACCAACGACCACGAAAGTAGAAAAAGCTGAAGTAATTAATACTAAAGAGCGTCATTGATTACTTACCTGAGTGACAATGTCGGTACCATCCTCGAGACAAACGGCAACACTGGCACCATGGATACTCATAATCTCAACCACAATGCCAGCGAGTTGAAGGAGGGATTGAATTTGCTCAAGCCAGCCTGACTCAGCGACGGCAGCGATGAGATCTCCCAGGGCACCCCGAGAGCCACCATCGTTTCCAACCGCCTTCTCATTGGGCATCGCAGCTGCCAGATTGTGCTCGTGGTCGCTGATAGAGCCGCCGCCACCACCTCCCTCGTCGAGATTACCACCGCGACGACGTTCTTTGAAGACGCCAACTAGACGCGAGTAAGCGCCCTTTGGTAGACAAGCATTGTAGAGCTTGCGGAATGTCTCGCGTATCGAGGAGTAGGAGGCGTAGTCCACAGAAATGAACTCCACACCGGGAAACTGGCCTGATTTCATCATAGTCTGCAAAGGATTTATGACTGTAATTATGTACGGGTGTGTACATACATGTTCGTCAGTTATCAACATGCGCGCAAATCGTATTACTTGGTGAAGTGAATAGATTGTTATCATTAGATTCAAGTACATTTATATGCAAAAAAATCACTTTCGCATAAAACTTCATGAATGTCAGTGTTGGTGAACAAGGTGATTGACAATCAACAGGGCAAAAAAATTTAAATGGTTCTTGAAGAGACTGACACAATAATGCTAGAATACTCGTTCACATTATAAACGAAGCTAAATGTCCTAATTCAATGTGAGGCAATTTACAGCATATAATGAAGTTGATCATAGTCGAAAATAGGTCATCTTAGCTCACCTTAACGGAACGCTCACAGAGAACATATAGAGTTGTTGGAATTCGGGATTCTGGGTAAAGATGCTGAGTCGAAGAGCTAGTAGCGCTACCCTTCTCATCATCATGGCCAAAAGGATGTGATGTTGTTGATGCTTTCCCGCCAGAGAATTTACCTAGTGCTGGGGATCAAAATGGCAGAAAACAATAATCAAGATATACTAATCAGTGCGCCTTCTCAATCAACTACAACAGCAAGAAGCGGTTAATTTGGGGCTAACAAAAATGAGATGATTACGTTGGGTCGCGAATGGCAAAAAAGTGGTATTGCGCATGTTTACGCGTGTTGCATGAATGTGCAGCTCCAGTTTCCGTAAACATGGAGTTGAAGGTTGAAGAGAAATCTGTTGTTGTGTACTTCAACGTTCTGACTCCAGGTCAATATGCAGAAGACATCCTGCCTTAGGCTATACAAGCATATGAAAAGAATAGCCACCTGATCATTCAAAGCCCAAGCCCTCGTTGGCATTCGCAAAGGGCGTGCAGCCGCAAGAGTAACGTGCATTGAAGGGCAATGAGCAGTTGCTTGCGTTATGTGGTTAACGATAGTGGCAATGAACGTGCATATGAAAACTCGCAGGTGAAGCATTAGCCAAACAAAATTTCTTACCGCGACGAACTGAAAAAATGCAAGAGCAAAAAGGACTTTATTCCGCTTGCCAAAATTATGCAATCCTCCAAACGATTGTGAGTGAGGAAGGATATGCTTCCAATTCTAGATAGACCACCCGCAACCGATGCAATCACAAAAGCTTGTGGTGTTTGAGCCAGTTACAAATTTGCACGGGAACATACAAATTGTAATACAATGGTTACGCTATATTGAGCGTAATTCCCGTATGCGTACGGATCCAAAGACAGTTTCACACAAACTTTTCGAGGCTAGAGCAGTTTGCATGACTGCTCCAAGCGTCAAGTTGCCGGTGTAATAAAATCCCGTTTCCAAGATAGATCGGATCGCATATAGTAAGCACAAATTGCTAGGTTTGCTTTGAATTGAATAGACTTTATTGGAACAAAGTTGGCAAGGAAACTGGAGAGCGCAGAGCTGAACACAAGACCAGCAAAACAATAAGCGTAGACATGCCAGACAAGATCGGAAGGAGGGCCATAGATGGCAGACGGGAAAGAGGTTATAGGAAATGTGCAAATGAGTGAGCTGCCGGCTTTACCTCCACCACGAAAGCGCCTCTTAGGCCTACCGGACTGGCGTGGAATATAGTGACCTCTGCGCACACAGTTCGCCGATGTGGTGGCAAGACCAACCTCTATCGAGGGACTGTCAATCATTTGGGCCGTAACCTCATTTAACTCTTCAGGAGTCGTGAAAAGTGAAAGCCGTTTCTCAAATGGTGCGTTTAGTGATACCACAGAACCGGTCACTATTATTTTTTTCCGGTGGTAGTTAGTCGTGTGATCAGGTTTATTCATTTGTGAATCGAGCACACAATTTATGACAGATGTGGGAAGAGCAGTAAAATGAATGGGGAGCATGATCGCAGAAAGTGAGTAAACATGTAATAAATGAAGTTTCACAAATTACAGAAAAGTTTGGTTAAATATGAATGGTTAATGAACACAAAAGGGGGAAGGTGAAAGGAAGAAAGAACAGCGAATCCGAGTTAGAATCTCATAGGTCGGAAATTGAAAAGGCATATACAATATACATATATAGGCATATACATATAAAGTAAAATTACTCCATTAAAAATAATTACACTGCATAAAAACTTACCATATGACAGATCTGTGTCCTTTATAAATAAATTTCCTAAATAACTAGTAATGATTTTCCTATTATTGAACGCTAAACAGAACAATTTATTAGTGACGAAAAGTATTTTAGGCACGACAAGTGTTTCAATAACCTTTCATCAATTTACTTGCTGAACTAAACTTAATTAATCAAACAACATATTCATGGAAAGAATGTAACACGATTGCACCTAGATGCCGTATTTTTTTCACCCAAGCATTGCCTAAAACAAAACGGCCCACGTATGCAAGTAAGGTGGGATGACAGACCAATAGACGCACCTCGCGAGCTGGCACGAGGAGTGCGAAGCAATGAGCCTGCCTTTTCGTGGGCCAACGTCCCACCGAAACCTCGTGGTGAGATAGAGGGTGTAGAGACACCTTGAGGCTCACCGGTGAGAAGCATCATAGAGTTTATGCGCGGCGAGAGGGGCTCCCGACTCTGCACAGAACCCGTTATAGAGGCTGTTGTCGAAGCAGGCATGAGCCCCAGCGCCGACGGGGGTACAGGTGACATGTTCACCAGCGAGGCAAAATAACGCGCGTGCTCCTTCGCTGAAGAAACCTCCGTACTTGTCTCCACGTCTGAGGCGAATTTAAGGTACACAGTCATGACAATGTTGATGCATGCAAATAGAGGTGTCTGTCTGATCACGATCCGGATATACTCAAGCCAGTTTGTCCACTTCAACTATCCCAATAACGGGTCGGAAATAATTTGAAATCAGATGCCGAAAATATTTGGTTAATAAGTCCGGCTCCAACATATTTCGTTTAAGCAGCGCAACTTCTCACTTTTAATCCAAAAATATAAAGGTAATAATCGTTGGATCGGAGATAACTACGAGATTTAGTAAGTACTTATCGCGGTGCAGCAAAAACTGTTCAGGCTACCACATACTTGGAGGGTGACATCAGAACAGAAAAGAGGGATGGCGAAAGTTGCACCAATGAAACTACGTGAAGAAGCATAAATGTTGCATACTAAGCCGGGAGTTGACCTCTGCATGCACCAGTGTTGCCAATGCCAATACTGTATGGTCAACGATGAGTCACCTCTCTCATCACAGCTATCCCCAAATCTTCCACCCTAGCAACACTGGTTGCATTCAAATGGAACCTTTTTGTAGGATTCCATTGACGCCACGGTGGGATATCCCATCGCCAAGGTGAGTCGACGACCAAGAGTTGCAATTATGACATCAATGCATTTAAAAATTACAATCAATCCAAAGCCCATGTAATATTCTCAACACAAACTCGATTTAAATGCTAATAATAACCAAGAATAAGTAAGGACATTTAATTTTGAAGAAGGGACCAAGTACTGGGCCCAAGCCTTCTGTTACGCAAGCGTCGAATACGAAAGGTTGTGTTGAATTGGACATACCAGCAACGGCAACGGTAGCGTTTGTGCCGGGGTGCCTTTCGGATGCAGTGTTAGCGACAACGGTGTGCTTAAAGGCAGAAAGGAAGGACTTTGTCTGGAAAGCGGCGCCTCGCAGTAGGAAAGCATGAGTCTCTAAGTGCTGCCACACCACCACAGGGAAGCGGCCGTGCTTGTGATAACGCGCCACGCGATCCAACCGTGAGCGCTTAAAGCCCTTTTTAAAAGGAAAAGTGGAGGTTACACTTATTATATCACACCGCAAAAACCGTGAGTCAAAGGAGTAAAGTAACTCAAAAGGAACTTTTACCCAATTTGAAGATCATGCATCGACAAACTTCTAAATAAATACATATCTATTAGCTCCCTGGAAAGCGACCGAAAAATATTGAGTAGCACCAATGCATAGGTCAATGAGAGACCTACAGAGGGAACAACGAGAAGAGAGGGGTATGTGCGTGTAATGGAATAGTTGGCATTGGCCAGAGTGATGACAGGCGAGGGGCATAGCTGTTGTGGCTTGTGCTGGGAGTCGGAGGTACTGGGGTAGCCAGAATGGATGGAGGAGAGGGGACTGGTAGAGGAGGGATGCTTGCAGTAGCCGATGGAGTGGAGAGCTACTTGGGCCATGTCCAGGTAGCCTGGTGAGTGCTGCAATGCCTCCGATATTGCCGGATCCTGACCCGCCGAACGTAGACTTGCCAAAGTCATGGAGAGTAGTGACCGTGCGTCAGTAAGCTCGTCCACTTGAGACAAAATGACAAACAGACCTATACGTAAGTGATGACTTGGCACAGTAACTAAGTCGAGGTAGTGATTAAGCTCCCCTTCGCCCACAAAGAAGATCATCCAACCCAAATAAGCGGCATGCTAATAGTCAACAAGCGAAAGAAGCGAACATAATGGAAGAAAACACTTAAAACATTTTATCAACAAACTCGCTTTAATGTCTTACGCTTGAAGTAGAGGTCTCGTGAAGGACAATTGCCACGCTACATCAATCTACCACAGGATTATAGTTCATCACCAGTTCCATTACACTAACGAATACATCCATGTATTTCACTTAAATGATTATTAATAATGAGATTGACAACATCGACAAAAATTATCCGCACTGCCTAATGGCCCGCCTCAAATACGGTTCCGCTATAGTGGCCAATGCAAAAGTACAAAAACTGATATGACCCATCACAATACCAGAATGAAACAGGATTCATGCTAGATGCATAACTCTTGTGTTATAATATGGTATGGTGCCAGAATATAGTTAAAAATTTTGTCAACAAGATTTAATTTGCATACCCATAATAAGACTTCCTTTTCATACACAGGCACGCATTAGGATTTTCTAAACCATTACCAAATGCATAATTTGGTGATACAATGACTGTAGACAAAATACAGGGTAAATCGGGATGGAAAGTGGCAGACTAACCTCGTAAAGAGTCGTCTGAGAGTCCAGTGGTGGTAGCTTCAAGGGAGTCAGTGTCAGAAAGCCGATAGGTGGCGGCAGCGATGACAGACTGCACTGCGGAGAGATTACGGAGACGTGGACCGGTCGTTTGCATGAGAACGGCTTGCATCGTGTTGGTAGTTTGCGACTGACTTCGACTGCTACGCCCGCTCCGACTGCTGCTCACGATGGACAGACTCGCCGAGTCGTCGTCATCGCCCTCTTTCGATCGAATCGATGTCAAACCACCGTCCATTTCTTGAGACTGTAGGCTTATTGGTCGATTCGATGCTGGCATAGGTAGTGGAGATCGGTACCTTCAAGTGGTAAATTAAGTAATAACTACCAAAACCTTATTTGTGCTTCAGTCCAGAGTGGAATTACTGATAACGGCATTACAAACCATCTTAATCGGCGTGGACTGGTCATATGGTTGCCAAAGCAGAGCATAAATAAATTTCACCAGAAAGACATGTTCGAGGCCAGCTTTTTAGGGCGTAACCGAAAATCATGCATTAGTTAAGTGAGCTCTTGTAAGAAAAGGGCTAAATGAAGCAATCACAAATAATGGCAAACAATCCTATGTAGTAGCTCGTAATCGACCACACGATATTTACTGGAAGTACCAAGACCAATTTCTTAAAAAAATCAATTCATCCAAAAAGACATTGAATTAGAAATAGTGATAAACGGCCAAAAAATGCTTCGGTTGTTATGAGATTAGGATGGAGTTCCTATAGCCTGTAAAGGGAGGAGAAAAATAACGGCTAAGACGAACTGACGTTAGTTATGAATTAGGTTGAAGAGCTTTATGGGCTTAATCTTGAGAAACTCCCAAAAAAAGAAGTATTCTATAAAGGGAACTTTGTGAAAGTACATTATAAAACTGAAAGCAATGTGGTAAATTAAGCACACTTAGTCAAGTTCATATGACCTAAAAAGTTGTAAGTGGTTGGATATGAACGTTCGTGGCATATGTAGTAACAAATCGGTGTGGAACTGCGTGAACGTTATCGAATAAGCAGGGAAGCGTGTATAGTATACCGTTTCAAATAGAATGAAGCAATGACCTCGGACTGTTGCATTAAAAGCAAGATAAGGAAGGATTTTGAATCACAATAAGATAAGGTAAATATAAATTTACAAACAGCGATACTAATCAAACACCCGCAAAAATTAGTTGATTTTATGATCTTTACAAAACTAAAAGATCACGACAATAAGGGTTATTTTATGAACGTACCCATGTGCAGCTTCCGAAGCGAGCAATGCCTCGGACGCTCGAGAGTTCAGAGAGTTGAAACTGAGTCCAATGACGGCTTGGAAGCGCAACTCAATTAGGACACGTCGTAACTCGTCACGTGCCTCAGAAGATACCTCGTCGGGATCAAAGCCGAGGCGCATCATCTGCATTGTCAGCGCACGCAGACGGTAGACGTCCAGTGTCTCTGTGGAGGAAGAAGACGCAGCGCTGCCAATGCGCAGCTTCCGATGCTGTTTCTTACCACTGCCACCTCCCCCGACACCCATTTCGAAGGAGGTTGCAATTGTAGGTGCCACGGGAATGGTGGTCACAACCCGTGCGCTACCCATTCGTTTGATCGAGTGTAATGCAGCGACAGGGAAACTGCGGCAGACTACCTTGTTTGACTCTATATGAGAACAATGGTACAGGAACTGGCTCAACGGTCCTCAATGGTAGATTAAGCGCCACCTCTTACTTGCTTAAGCTACTGATAAGCGCTGTGCATATTGTGTGCTTTCGAAACGATGGTTTTATTTTAAAATATGACTTTGGCACCAACACTTGCATACCATCTCGCTCGACAAGCACGTACAGACATGTTGAAAACAGAAGCAAATGGTTTTCAGCAAAATTAAAAACGCGAAATTTTTCAAAAACAAAAAATGAAGGTGAAAGTGCTGACGTCTGATTATCAATAAGACGCATCGAGGCACTTTTACAGACAATGAAATAAAGTGAGACGAAGTACACAACCTATTCTCAAAAACTTAAGTTCAAAAAAAGGTTCCATATTGTTACACTACAAATAAAACTTATTGAATCGCATGAGCATAAATATCCCTTTAAAGTGAACTGCATGCATTCGTCGGACTATTGTAAGACTCAAAGTCTATTTGAGAAGTTGTAACTAAAAAGCAGACATGACACAAATAAGACAGTCAGTTGGAATCTACTACGTCTCAAACTGTGACAGACAGCAGTTCCTTCCTTAATAAAAAGCCAGAATCATGAGAAATCTGAGTCTTATCTCAGACCAATAGGGAAGCGCATACGAAAGGGATCCTTGGGCACGCCAATGAATATGACACGATAGTTTGTAATGAAGAGGGCTCCTTGAGCGGGTAGTAGGGTGCGGATCACACTATCCAGCTCCTCATTGAAGATTTCGTGTGAGGAAGGCGCTGCTACGTTAGCGTTGTTGGCATCCAAGAGGATTGTTGGTTCCGACCGGCTCCAGTCTCCTCCGCCACCACCACTGTTGCTCCCACCGTCGCTCACCCGCTCCATTCGGCCATCGATGAGCAACTGACAGGGAAGCCGGTCCAGACCCGCCAGCCGAATTATGCTCTCGCCCACAAGAAGTGCTGGGTTTGCAATTTCCGGCTACAATTTGGTTATTTGTATTCAGTGAAGACCAAAGAAACGCTTTAACAAAAAACATAGTTTTCGCAAAAACATAGAATAGGAAGTTAGGGCAATCAATCTGACAACAAGCAATCCTATGCTATTGCCATGGGCAATCGATAAATCGATTTATTACTGAAACCAGCGTCACCTTTTTAATTTTCGGGATTTTCTTCACTTCGGGATAGATGTCTGCCAGGTTGAGCAGATGACCTTCCAAAATACCTTAACAAAAGAGTTGATTTTTGAGTTTATTGCAAAATTAAAATGGCACGATGGCGATAAAAAAATATGACCTCAAGTAAGCATATAGACAAAATTCGATTGTTCGTAGAAAGCTGACAGAATACAAAGGAGTTTGAATTTATTTCACAAATAAACGAAGAAAATTGATTAAGAAGCTTTTAGCCATTATGAGCAGAAATTATGAATGGCTGTTCATATGTGCGCTTAAATAGTTTTATCGAGGTATTTCCATTAAATCCCCAACGAGTAACGAGAGAAACTTGTTTAATCAATGGCGATTGGGCGTCATTTAGACCAGTTAAGAACAAGGTGAGAACATACTGTCTACTTTGTTTTTAATCTGAATAATGCTAGCCTCCGGGAGGGCGTTTTCGGCGCCAACCTTCTCAACGAATTTGCAGATCCACTCTGCCAACTCGATAAGGACAACGTCAGAGTTTGGTATAGCGTCTCGCGACAATGACGACGATGAAATGCCACCTCCTCCAAGAGGAATCGACAAAGCGTGGTGACCGTGGTACTGACTCAGCCCTCCACCTCCGCTGCCACTGCTACCACCACCATGGGAAACGGATCTACGTTCGTTGTGATTTGACAGTGGCAATGTACTAAAAAGTCAAAAGGTAAAATTAAATAAAGCATAACTTTTATGTGCGCGTTTAATAGTACGAAACAGCCTCTCAGCTCCCGTAAATACACACTCGTCTCTTCAACCACCCCACAACAAGGTACTAGGCGTCGAAAAATCTAATATTAAGAATAAAAGGTAAAGTTTGCTTTAAACATATGCTAATGTGTGTGTGTGTATGTAACGAAAGCGTAATAGACTCCAAAACTGCAATGGTTACAACCAACTTCTTGCTATCCAAAAGAAGAAATTATGAACGACTGTTTCACAATTCCCCTTAACCATAAATTCTGAAATCACAGAATGGCTCGGAAACTTCCTTTCAGAATATATAAATAAGCGGAAAGTTGAAGAGATCAATGAAGCCAATCGGAGAACTTTATATTTGAAGGTGAAATCCTCATAAGGCACATCAACCTACCGTCGATAAATCGTATTTTTGCATGATAGAAGCTTGCAACTAATCGTAATGTCAACGCATACCGCAAACACAGTGTATAGCAAAACTACAAAGAAGAGAGTTCGTTTCGTAGCCGAAGTAAGCCCGTTACTAGCACAAAAAAGTGGTAACAAGTCCCAACAAAGTACAAGAAACTTGACAAAAGTAAATTAAGTGTCAACGCCTTGAAAAATGGTCCAGTAACTTCTGAACCTCCTTAAAAATGTCCTAGGTGGGTTCGAATTTCCCTGAATAGGCAAGAACATACACATACTGAAACAAAATAGACAAGCCAAATATGACCCTCCTAAGCTGAATTCCAATGCTCCTATAACACGCGTGTGTTGGTCTTCCACCCTTAACCGATCGCAACACGTGAAGGTTATTAAGAGCATTCCACACAGGTAATGGGAGAAAGTTATTGAGCATGTACAGGAAAAAAATCTAGCAGAAAGTAAACACACAAAATTCGATTATGCTCACGAATATTGCGGTAGCGAGTGGGAACAATGTGACCAGCTTTACACCTCGAAGCTTTGGTTTTATCGCAATGCATTGAGCAATTGGATGTAGCTTGTAGCCATGTCGATTTGACAAATGAATATATCCCAGCACATCGACCATATACAAAGGGAGAATAAAAGTTTCCACACATTTCCAAAAATGAAATGTAGTAATAAGCGACTAAAATGCCGCCTTAACTATGCTACAATCAGGATTGCTTCATAGTGAGCAAGCATACGAGTGCATAGGGTAGTCAGAGAGAGAACGTCCTCACCTAGCGGAGGGCGAATCGCGCCTGTCATTGAGTTGGTTGATTGGGCTGGAAGTGCATGCAGGCCAGCCATTTGGCAGCCCACGCTGATGCTGTTGAGCGCCACCAGCAGGAAGAACAGTGCCGACAGAGGCAGTCGCCTGCAACGTAGTAGAAGCAGAAGTGCCGCCCATTAACGGGTCTGTGCTGGGAATGAGAGGTGCTGCAGCGTTCAGAGGAACACGGAAGTTGATGATAAGGTTTATAAAATGGAGGATCTGCGAGTACACCGTGCCCTCCTCTTGTTGCTGCAGACTCGCTTGCAGCTCCGGCGATCGCAGACCACCTGAGCGCAGCTCCTCCGCAGCTATCTCCAAAACTGATTGATCAGACGAATGAATTGGCTTCAAGAAAAAAGCAAAAAATAATACTCATTCCTCATATAGCGACATCTACAAGTCATAACCCTGGTGAAAGTCATCTTTTCCAATATCATTAATATGCATAGCACTTTACTCCTTGAGAATCCGTCCATGCATAGACTACCGATACATCACGTAATCAGCAGAAAATGCCGAAACCCAATTGTTTGCTTAAGAGTAAAGAATCCCCTCCAAAATAAAACGATTTGATGACTAGTGAGCTAAAAACACACCGAGACTACATAAATGGAATTATATCACGGTGTAAAAGGCACATGTGACCTTGTAGTAATGCTGATCACATGTATGATTCACACGAGCATAAGAACGGAGAGAAAATTTACCGGAAGATAAGCAGTGGAAATACCACATTTGCGCTCCTCCTCAGATTGATGCAAATAGAGTTGTTTGATTTGATTATTCACTTGCTCGTTGAAGACATCCTCCCAGAAACTCATTTCTGACCAGATTCTGTGGCGTTGAATGTGATGAGTCATGTTAGCAAAATAACGCATCCCACCGAGTTGCTACAACAAGGAAGGTGGATACAACTGATAAGTTATTCGCACTATTTCCGACTGCATTCCACAACTTGGCTCAATGAGGCGCTAGACTAGAGATCTGATGGGTTCAGCAACTGACGTAAGTAGCTTCTTCAATAAAGTCTATACCGAGAACTTGATCATGCTTTGTGATTAGTAGGCAGCAGAAAAGTGCTTCAGGGCAGAATTTGGTGCGACCAACAAGGCTATTGAACAATATAAACGGACGATAACGCAAATGAAACGTGTGCGTATGCGCCACAACAACAACCAATTGTATTCAGTCGAAAATGTCACTCTGAACTGTGTGCCCAATATCAATGTTAACTGAATCGGATAACTGCAGTGTCGGCTGTTGGAAAAAGCAGAGCTACTTAAACTGGATGTAATTTGTGAGAATGCAGTTATGAAGGGAAGGAAAGAAGCTATGATATGACCCCACTTCTTATGCCGGACCGATATGGAGCGTCTACAGCCTCGTGCTATTCTAACTCTGCCTCTTTATCAGTAAGATAGAAGTGGGTTCAAAGCATATTTGCTTAAAAGTTAGATTGCATGTATGCGTTTTAGAATTCTAAATCAACGCCTACAGTACTGATTCTGGTAGCAAGTTCCAAAACAGGAGGAGCTATGACGGTGTTGTAAGACATTCCCTCATAGCGCAAGGCCTCATCAAGGAGTCCAACGATTACATCAAACTGCTCCCAATTAAGTGAAGCCCGACGCTCGTACTCCACAATCACGCCCTCGGAGAAGGCGGAGTCAGAACTTTTCGAGGTCACCGGTGGGATGATCCTCTTGCACAGCTCGTCCACAAAGAGGCGTCGGAAGGACTGCGATTTCAAGTCCTGCCGAATAGTGTTACGACGCTGAAAACGCACGCACCGGATTTAGCACTTACAAATACAGTCGTTAGCTGACGTTCAAGGTCATCGAATCGACTTTCAGATAAAAAGTATTACTGAGTGCATGAAATAAATATAAATAGAAATAAGATCTATGGCATATGCATTTGGGAGAACTGCATAAAAGATGAGAGAACAGTGGCATTTGAGCGCTGGAGCATTGCTTTAAACGATGTGTGAGAAAAGATCGACTGGACACTGAAGTATCGGTAAGCACAAAAAGGGATGGTTTGGAAACAAAGGTCCTAGTCAATAACGAATATTATAGAAAAATATGAAGAACAAAATACACCAAAGCAATATTGCAAGGGTTATTATCCAAATCAATGTACTGCGGTAACGCAGAGGCCGTGGTTAATAGAACACGGAAAAATTTATGCAGTTTCATTGAGAAACCACAACATTGGGAACGATAAAGGTCATGAAGTAAAGAGACACCTTGAGAGCCTCAGTGATGTGCAAATCAAAGATGTCAGCGACAAATTCACGGATAACACGGCATTTGTCCGAGGGTAGCTCCGATTTGAATGCGTTACGGTCCAGCTGCTCACCTTTGGGTACGATACGAGGCTTTTCCTTTATCTCTATAGTTGGTGGCGCTCTGGATAGAGAGAAAAGTCTGAATGCAGCACAAACACATGGTCAAAACCTATTTCCATGCACGAAAGAAGTCAAGGGATAATGTAGATTTGCACGCTAAAAATTCAAATAACATTTTAGCTTTGACAGCAGAATCAAGTTTTGATTGGAGTGGAGAGCTGACAGAAAACATTGGTTTTAGTTTAAATAAGAACCAAATAAGGACCAATATATTGCTAGAATAATTAAAGAATGATGAGAAGAATGGCAGATCATATGTTTTGACTGCCAAAGTGGTTCACGTGATTCCCATAATTTTCACGGTGTAATCGAAATGGCAAATTACAAACACTGTGGACACAGCAGTTATCTCGCTCAATTTTCAGCCAACAAGGCCACATCGCAACTCGTTCGTAGAGCAAAAAAGAAGTACCTACATTTTAATGCATACATCTTACATCCTCAGTCAATCAATTCTGACTGTGGGTATTGCCAAACTACGGTGCTGAAGTTGGCGTCCGTGGAGGAATTTACTCAAATATCTGTAGTTGAAAACAGAACTCACGATTGACTGCGCAACTCCTGGGCTACCCGTGTAAACTCATCTACCTTCTGAGAGTTGAGGCGAGGGAATGGGCGGTGGTGAAGACGATTATGCGCTTCTACAGCCTCCGCCTGAATAACATCCACAATTTGATGGCCCTCGTCTTGCTCCTGCGTAAGGGGAAATGGGCGATGCAGACAATCTTCAATATTACATGATTTTAGTAATTGACTGTTGCTTCAAAGGCATTAAGTGGAAAAGTCGGTCGATGATTGTGGTTCAAACCGCCTTAAAAAGATGGACCTTGCACATTTCCTACCTTAAATCCGAATCGCCCCGTCACAAAATTCCCCCACATTGGAAATTAGAGTAGACTAAAGGCATTAAATTCAACGAAAATGTTAGTCAATACTGCTTGACACGAAGGTGAGAGTTTTACAATAGTGATTACGAAAAATATATGGACATTATTGGGGTAACATGGCAAACGTGAATGTACCAGCGCGTTGTCTACAATCGGTCCTCGTCAAATTTAACGAAGTACTTTTACGCTGCATCGGAGAGATAAAGTGCGTAAGGACAAAGTAGAAGAAGCTTTACACCCCGTTGAATGCGCACTTCAAAAATGGTCATCCATTTACAAGTGGTCTCTACGTTTCTGTGCTCAAAAAAGGCAAACAGAGCTGCAGGTGTGTAAATCCTTGGCAAAAATGTTTAACCAGGAAGGTTTATAATGTAATGCCTTGGACTAGGCGAGAAAAGAAATGTAGAGGAGTTGAAATATAACGATGCAAAGAGGAACTCATAGTTAGTATGTGAGCCTAGGGTGAATGCGATTCAACATTCGATGTCATGATAATAAGTGATAGGCTGACTCATTTGGGTAAACAATGGCATTGAAGCAATTCCATGTTTTTTCTACATTGTATAAGCCTCTGAAAAGCCACTTTTTGCTGGCAATACTTCAGAAGAAAGCTGACCAGTACACACTGGATGCGATTGTGGTCCATTATGACACCAAAACTACCAAAAACACCTACTCATGTGCTACCTATAAAACCAAAATCAAAAATATCATGGGTCGTTCAGTGCAAGTACTTAGGGTGAACTCTCTCTCCGCATAATTGTGACGCCAGGTTCACGTAGGGATAACTAGGGCGTCACACAGGCGCACTAAAAACATACATTTTCCATGAACTTTTGAGCTATGCGATCAAGAGAGTTGGTAAAATCAGTGACGAAGGATTCGTAATCAACGTCAGGGAATGAGACATCAGCCACAAATTGAGGCACGAGATGTTGTGCATCAACGCGCGCCACATCGTACGCCTCATCGAAGAGGTCACACACTCGAAATGGTGGACCGCGTTCCAGCACAAACTGGTGGAAGCGCATGCTGGAGAGGAGGCGGTCGAAAAAGTCGTCCGGCTCATGTACGCCCCGCAACACCAGAAACAGCGACTACACACAAAACATAAAAATATTTAAGTTCCTAGCTTAGTTCGATTTCAGTGGGTCTTAACATTTACACAGCCAGAAAAAGTGCGGTGGAGCCACAGCTACGTAGACGACTCCGATACTTACATATGCAAATAATGGTCGAAATTGAATATATTATTTGTACGAGGTAAATTTTAAAGGATCTAGCACCCGCAAATTGATTAAGCTCAGCTAGTTTTATTATTACCATTTGCTGGAGGTGAAATGAGAAGCCAAATTTTCTTCTTAATTAGGACGTCCAGAGTATAAACAAGCATGATCGGGTTACCTGTAAAGGAAAGTGCGTGGAAATTATGATGTGCTCACCTGGTTGAAGTGGATGACGGGTTGTGGATGAATGCGAGTGATGGTGAGGCAGGAGCGATAGCCAGCGAAGATGGAAGCAAATAGATGCAAGAATACAGCACGGAGTCTTTTGTCGATCTGCTCAGGAGTCAGTTTGGATATAGACCCGGGTAGAGGAGGATAGATATTGTCAGAGGTCAATAGTTCGGGACTCAATATCTAGATGCAAAGTGCTATGATTAACAAAACTCTCTAGCCGTTAAGGATTCAAAATTTCGTAATCCTATATACAAATCATAGTGTGTACAACTGAGGCGAAACAGAAAAAAGCAATGTAATCAGATAGGTTCTCACATGGAAAAGGCTTTGTATTGATTCAGTGAGAAAGGGTTGTGGTATCTGAGGGAGAGGGATGTTCTCAGGGCAAATAACACGTCCAACGTCGAGATCCGCTATAAATACATCCGGCTGTGGGGAAAAGGATGAGTGCACAATGATGTACCCGTTAGAACTTGACAAAAAGTGGGCAGTATAAAAAGATAAAAAAGCTTGGTACAAAATAACCTAGGGCTGAGGCATACATACTGTCAGTTTTGTTCGATATATGAAACCACTATTCAATTTCTACACAACAATAAACAAATGCTGGAAATCCACGTTGATTCACTGCCACAACCTAGAATAGAAGACTCATAAATTCTTGAAAAGGCAACTGACGAAAAAAGTTGACGCCTGATGAAGGGTGTTGACTTTGTTAAAGTCAATTATGATCTGTCAATGACATCGAAACGCGACATTCGCCCGTATAACATAAAAATCAGGGATGTGTAAGCGTGCTTGTATAGCTTTGCATGAATCGCTTACAATGTCAGGAAGAAGATGACAGTAGGACGCGTGGATTCCATAAAGGAAGGGTGTTGGGGCACTCAGATAATCGACCAGGCCTTTCGGTAGAATGGGAACATAAGTGTGACTGGGATGAAAAAAACACAATTCAAAGAATGATAGTAATACTGAGTCCTATTAATATTTACAGAAATTAAAAAAGGACTTCTTCCAAACGATTTTCGAGTGTTTTCGCATCGCCAGCGGAAATTTTGAGCCCTTTAAAGGCATTGAGTTTGGTTGAAAAATTGTCATAACCAAAAACCAAAAATCAAAATTAATTCAACAAAAGAACCTTACTGCAATAAATGGATTACTAAGTTAGCCAAAGCTATTCATGATTTCGCCAACGGTATCAGAGAAGGATTGCATAAGCGCTATCTGGACTATGGTTTGCTATAATGCAAAATAGGACATCGTTCGGTTTTTATTGTTTTGCCAGTCAAGGACCTTGCCTTGTGAGGCAGCAGTAGAGGCGGTGACGTTGCACACGGCATCTTGCCCACCTATGCCAATAGAAGGCCGAGAGCGACCAAGTCACTCGTCTTTAAGGGGCGAATAACTCCAGACCTGGGCGATTACCATCGCATTAAACACGTGTCCAAGCCTCAAGCAGATTGTTGACCCCCATGCACGTGATGAAAGTGCTAGAAAGCAAGCTCACCCGTATTTTAGCGGGTAGATGATCGATGTGAGAGCGTGACAGGCCTCGGTGAGACGTACCAAGCTCTGGGAGCAGACTAATAGCTTTTGGTCACTCAGCATCGCCGTGAACATCAGCAGCACATTATCGATTCCTGGAAAATAATCATTAGTACCATGTTATTTCCGATTTGGGTAAGTTTTGTAAGCAAAAGAAATGCCGAACGCAAAATTTAGACATTGCCTTGAAGCGAAAATTGTAGATAGTGCTAAACAGAAAAACAGTAACCATGCTTTATTGCATCTTAAAGAACACTTTTGTTTCGAGTTTGCCAGGCAAAACTGACATCCTCAAAATCGATCACTATTAAAGCCGAAAAGTAATAATTTCGAGCTACTTTAAAACATGAAAGGCAGCTGAGTAAAATAAACTCTATCAATTCACGTCAAGGCTATGGGAGAGATGCGGAGAATGAATCAGCAGAAGAATGGAAGAAACGAAAACCCCATTATGACATTTAACGGTTAGAGGATCGGTATGCATTGAGGTGGATGGAACAGCATGGCTTTGCCACACAGGCCCGGTTCAAAAACGACGTTTTTGCCCTGGTGTTCGGAAGAAGGTGGGAGGCAAAAAGGTACGGAAAAGCCATGAGCAAGAAATCAATAGGACTCAAACAGTAAAGCCGTATAGACATGAAGTATCATCTTCATAAAGATCTCAGAGGTTTGTCAACCGGATACTTGTGAATTCATTGCTAATTTGCACATGCCCGTACATAGATTACATGGAAGGAGAAAAAGCACGCTCTAAAGATGGAATTGATAAAACGTGAACAGCTGCTGCGACCAATGCCAAATATCACGAACCGTGAAAGTGATTCAGGTAGATGTGGAGATTTTGTGCGGCAAAAGGGTGTGTCCGCCAAAGAGATGTCGTTTGTGCTATTATGGGATGCAACTTTCTTAAACATATCACAAGTAAGCAGCCATCAATAAATAAAGTAGTGGTTAAGATATCACTTCATTTGTTAGAATTATTCGACTAATGGCAAACAAACCTGCTGATGCAACTAAATTATTACGTCAAGGCGTAAATGTAGGGCACCTGGACATGGTTATGCGCACAAATCCACATGTGAAATGCGTGAACACGCAAATTTTGAAGATAATTTAAGACACTGATCACAAAGGCGTGCCAAAAAGTTCACAAGTCTCACAAAGTAGCTGTAATCGCGCGAATGTTTGCATGTAAACTGATTTTCTCCGTTTCAATGGCCTGTAGAGCATCAGTCTTGAAAGAAGAAACGAGATGGTACTCAAAAAGACATGACTGGCAACTCAGTTACCGAGTGGAGTAATGAGTCAGATGAGTATTAAATTAATTAGCAACGAAACATACTCATGGAAACCCATCTTTTCAGCAACTCATTTGCATTACCAACAGTGGTAAGCAAACAAGAGACGGATTACTGTAATCCTTCACACAATACATGAACTAGTACTGTGGAAACTGATAAAATGGATAAATGAAGTAGTAGTCCTAGTCGTTCATATTGGACAAGACACTGTTGCACATATAAAAGGAAGGCCGAACACGATCCACCAACTAAAAAACAGTTTACTGAGCCAAAAATTAGCACCGCGACAACAGAGCAAGCAGTAAAAGCAAACTGGGTAGCACTGTTCAGCTTCTTGAAACAAAATTACAACTTATTAATGGAAAAGTACAGAAGACAATATTCAAGATCCAAAACAGCACCACTACTACAAAATAACGAGAAATGGAAAAAAGTTTACCCTGTGTGAAGTTTCCCATCAAACCCCTATATTTTGCATCTGAAGGGAAGGCTGCAGAGCATTTTGGTTTTATGCGGATTCAAAGTGTTACGTAAGATGGGCTTAGCGTTCTTACCTAAGTATTTGAAAAGGCTTGCCACAGAAGAGCGAGTGACGGGTATGGTCTGACACTTGGCAGGTTGTACAGTTTGACGGTCGTTGGCACCCACCGTGAAAGTTTTTCGGGGGCCCCCTGGACACAATATATTTAAATTTTTCCATGCTATAATACGCAGAATAGTGGAAATGTGCTACTAAAATAAATTCTAGGCATTGAAAAGTGGTAAATTAAATCCCCTTTCTCCAAGCCAGGTTAGATTTGCGAACTGCAATTTCTCACCAGACTACCCACAGTCAGTATAATCTCGAAATTTTCCAACAACACGCACGCAGGATAAATTAACCGCATAACTGCGAATTTTTTGGTAGTTACCACGACGAGAAACTCAAATAACGGAAGAGCATCTCAAAATCAAAATTAGGATTATGATCACAAACGTTGACATACGCAGAATTATTTAAATACAAGACACTCAAAGCGACTGCCACTGGGATGCTACTCCGCCCACTTAGAGAGCCACTGCGTAAATGCAATAGAGAAGTCTGTAAAAAATAAATTAGGGGGACGTTCCACGCGTGTGGGACTTGGGTAAATTTACATGCTAGGCTTGTTCCACTTTCAATGGATTTCTATAATGAAACCACATAAGCTAGAAAACCTAAAGTAAACCATTAAAAAGTTTGATGTAAAGCTTATGGATAGGCTGCTCATCAGAACAAACTCGAAGGAGATCCAAAAATGCCTCTATCTAAACCCAGTCCGATAAAACTTCTTGAGCTCACAACAAGTTTTGTTCTGCATAAAGTGACGCTTTCTAACAGATTCTACTAAAACAAACTTCAATTTGAGCGAAATAGTATATGGAAAACACATCAAGAGATTAAAACCTACTACTAGGCTAAAGTTGTTCGTTAGATTCAACAAACGAAATAGTAAGCGAAACAAAAACACCTGTTTACAAACCGATTAATGAAATATTATGAATATACAGTCTCTGGAAGGCAAAAATATCATAAGGCTACTTTTAATAGTCGGAATCGCAAAAAAATATAAAGATTCGAGAACATACATAATCGGTGAATGAAAAGAAGACAGCATGGGAGAAAAGAAGTAGCAGTAAATCCTGATTTCAACGAAATGCAAGAGAAAAACCTAATCAAAATAGGCTGAGAATGCTTTTGCTATTTTCACTGACTGTATCAAAGCGAAAAATGCTAAAAAAGTGATAATAATATTGAGTAGAGCCGATAATGTAGGATTAAAGTCTAAAAAAATTAGTCACCCACCGATAGGGGGTATTTCAACACCGCCGACAATATTTCCAACGATTTCCTCCAGGCTAAACTCCTTTGGGCTGTCCATGAATGTAGTGTATAGTATGCTCAAACAATTCTGGAAAAAAGATAGTTTCGAGTTCTACAATCAGCATAGCGCAGCTCGGATGCATAATTTCATACAAGGCACAGAGCCAGGGTTCTGCGAAATAGCCTCCTAACTAATCAAACATCAGCTTAGGAACATGCCTGAAGCACTTTGAAATGCTGGTGACGGGCAAGGAGAACTATGCATTTCGGAGCGAAGAGCTCAGTGGGTCGGATGAGGTTTGGATCCATCGATACCCCATTGAAGTTGCCCGATGACACAGCTAGACTTTCGCAACTATTCAGCTGACTCAAACTTCCAGCGGGAGAAGCAGCTACGATGACCTGGTGATAGTGCGGATCTGGAGTGTTAGTGTTGCGATTAATTTGGGATCGCTGTTGGTAAACGTGTTGCTGTTGACCTGAAACGGCTTCGTAGAAAGTGAGACAGGCGGCATAGTAGTGGCTACCATCTACCCCTGTCAGATAGGCAACGAAGAAGGTTGGTGCCTGGCGATTTGTTGTTAGTCGCCATCCGCACGGCTGGCAGAACTGAAAGGTGTAAAACTTTCGTAAAACCGAAAGTATTTCATATTTGACAAAAATTGAACTTTGTATTTACATTTTATCTACGGAACGTTGCCTGTGAAGATTGGCAGCGGAACTTTTATTGGAATAAAATAGTAATACTGAAACTGCTCTGGGCTATAAAAAGTCTAAAACCCATGGCCAGCAGAAAAGTTTTAAACTACATCCCAACCATACACGTACAGATTCCACATGAAAGTCATAAGGGTAATTTTTCCACTCTTTCGTTGGGAATCGCTGTAATACTCGACCTTGGCTCTCAAATTCGACTAAAACAAAGAAAAGTTGTGAAAGTTAAGAAAATCAGATTCCAAAAACCGGACAGCTTTCAACCTTGTAAATGCGTAACGTTGCCTGATGAAAGGCATCCATAAATTTTAGTACTAAACACACTCATTGGTGGCAAAAGCAGCACACGATGAAGCCCCTAGCCATAAATCCGTCAATCAGAACGAAAAATTAGTGCGTGACAACTTAAGAGGAGCGAAAGGCAAGCAAAATACCAGCGAAAAAATGTAAAACCGTTATTTAGTTAGTGACATATATATTAACTACTCAAAACGAGAGTCCTAGCCCGGTGTATAACAATCTTAGGCAGCGCCGAAAGGTGTGCTGCGACATAACTTACTTGATTTGTCGAAATCATATCCAACAATCACAACATAATCGGCAAGGCGTATCATCCCTCCTCAAATACGGCGCCGTCAATTTAAGTGAGTTAAACAGGTCGTATAAAATGTAGCGAGCACATGAAATTATTTAAGTATATAAGGACCTCGTTAGTAATGCCATGCATTAGGTTTAAAATATTATAGTTTATTAAAGTTTTTATGAAACTTAGTTTTTT